GACTTCGTGGAGTCAATTCACCTAGTATCTTCTGTGAAAGTTAAACACAGTGGCGGCGCCAGGGGGACGCTAGGGGGCGCTATAGCTACCCCTAGAAAAGTTATAGCACCTCCATAGCACCCCCAGGAAATATTTAGATTTTTTTCTTCATCTAATTTAATATTTTAAATATGTAGTTGTGGCATTTTCTTCTAAAGACAAATATATATAAAAAGAATCAACCATTCTAATTTCAGTAAAAAATAAAAATAAAAAAAATAATTCAACCTGATTTGAACTTTGCGTATTATTACTTCCGGGAAGCAATTGAGAGGAACACGCTGCGCAAATATGGATCGTTTTTTGCAACCAAAAGTTCCACGGATGGAATTTGAGAAGGATGCATTTTTGGAAGCAGAGTCCGACCAACAAAGAAATATTAATCTGGATGAAGAAGATAAACTGTGCAGTTATCCTTCCACTGCTGCTGAGAATGCTAACAGTGTTAGCACTGGACAGCTAGAAGATCTAAGCAGAAGTCCTCAAGATGGACCAAGACGACCACTTCTGCAAAAATACCCATCACGCTTGTTTGGGGTGCAACAGAGAAGTTTTAGTAAAGGCTGGCTCGATCAATATTTGTGGTTAGAATACAGCGTGAGTAAAGATGCCGTGTTTTGTTTTGCTTGTCGGCATTTTCTAAAAGGAGGACACAGGTTCCATCTTGAGCCAGCATTTACCGCGCTCGGCTTTAACAACTGGCGGAAAGCAGCAGCGTCATTGAAGAGCCATCATGAAAGCGCCGGACACAAATTTGCAATGGAAGCGTGGAGTGAATTCAAGTTTAAACAAACGAGTGGATCAAAACTCCCCAACATGCTCGACAAAGGACATTCTGCATTGGTTCAGGAGAACCGGAGGTACATGATGGGTGTTGTAGAAAGTTTGCGCTACACAGCTTGTCAGGGAATCGCACAGCGCAGTCACAGTGAGAAACAGGATTCAGCTAACAAAGGTAATTTTCGTGAGATGCTTGATGTGATTGGAAAATTTGATCCCAATGTCCAAAAAAAGCTGACAATTAATCCATCTAATGCTAAGTATGTTCATCATGACATACAGAACGAAATATTTAATGTTATGGCTGAAATGATAAGAAAACAAATCAGCAATGAAGTGAAAGAAGCTCAACACTTTGCTATTTTGGTGGATGAAAGTAAAGATATCAGCAAAAAAGAACAAATATCTGTTATTGTTCGTTATTTGCAGCCAGATTCAGAGAAGGTGGTGGAAGAATTTTTGCATTTCACCCCAGCAGAAGGATTAGATGCAGACTCACTTTTTGACTGTATCAAAATGACCCTCAGTCGTTGTAATATTGATATAAATTGCTGTGTCGGACAGTGCTATGACGGTGCTGCTGTTATGTCCGGGTGCAACAATGGAGTTCAAGAAAAGTTGAGAAAAGAGGTGCCGCAAGCTGTGTACATTCACTGCCATGCTCACAGGCTGAATCTTGTGTTAGTAGACTGTGTACATAATGTTGATGCTGCAGCCGATTTTTTTGAGATATTGCAAATGCTTTACAAGTTTTTTTCTGGGTCTGTTGTTCATGATCTTTTTTTGAAGAAGCAGGAAGAACTTGTGTCAGCTGTACAGCACCTAGAACTTAAAAGACTCAGTGACACCCGCTGGGCGTGCCAGTATGATTCCATACGTGCTGTCAAAAAAACTCTCCCAGCTGTTATAGCTACGCTGCACGATGTTGTTGACCAGAAAAATGCTAAAAGGAGGACGGAGGCTAAAGCTCTCAGTGCACTTATAGATAAGAAGTTTGTTCTGCATCTTGTAATTTTTGAGGATATTTTCAGAACAACAAAATTCATGTCTGATCAGCTACAGTCTCCTAATTTAGATCTAGTAGCAGCAAATGACCTGGCTCATTCTGTAATAACTGCTTTAACAGAAAAACGCACAGATGACAAATGGGAGACACTCAGAAAAGAAGCAGAAGAACTTTGCAGCAACACAGGAATAGCAACAGAGACTGTACATCGGCAGAAAAGACAGACTCAAACAGCTAAACATCTAGAGCACTTTATTGTGGATGCCTCAATAGAAAGAAAAGGTGCAGACAGCACGGATGACCTAAAAAACAAAATCATTCTATTCTGTTATAGACAGGATGCTAATGGAAATGAAACAGCGTTTTTCTTCAGAAACTAATGAAGTACTGAAAGGTTTGCCAGCTCTAAACCCCAAACACCCATCATTCCTTGACAAAAAATGGATACTGCCTATGGCCTGTCTTCATGGAGTTAACGAGGAGAACTTGTCAGCTGAGCTCCACCAGGTTCGCCGGCTGCTGAAAAGGAAAGAAGAACTGGGACTTATAATCAACAACACACAAGACTTCCTATCTGTGATGCGGCCCTACAAAGATGCATTCCTGGACTTGTATAAGCTGATATCCATATCTTTGACTCTTCCAGTAACATCAGTGAGCTGTGAGCGCAGTTTTTCTTGTTTGCGTCGTTTGAAGAACTACCTAAGAAACAGCAGCGGAGACAGTCGAACAAGTGACCTGGCACTTCTTGCTATCAATCCTTTAAGAACCAGGACCCTGGACAGTGACAGGATTATTGATGCTTTTGCCCTCAACCA